TATAGTATCTCGCGTAGCTTTAGTCAAGAAAAGTCATACCGATTAATTTTTTGTACTCATTGCTTTTCCCACAAAGTGCTACATAACAAATTCATTAGGAGGATTTAACTTATCCGTCCGTCCATCGAACACATTTGAACGTTCGTTAATCCAACGAGCAAACTCCAATCCTTATCAAACTAAATCATCGAACTTATCAAAGGAATCATCTCATTTGAGAAGAAAATTACCAGAGAGATAAGATAGTCCTCTTGAAGAAAAATAAAGGGGGGGGGGGGAAAAGGAAAAGAAAGAAAAAGCGACATTAACTTTCTCGCTCATAATTCAGCAATTAAAAGTATACCTCTAAGGCAAAGTTCATTGACCTTTTTCTTCAGTAACACGCAAACAGGCTGTTCACCGATCTCCTGAGGCTTTCCAGTTTTCTCTCTCTCTCTCTCTCTCTCTCTTTCTCATGTATTTTAGCCGCGGGTGATTCGAGGTCGAGGGTACGTACACGTCGAGGGAATCGGGTCGGCCCGTTTAAGCGTGTAATAGCTCAATAGCCGTCGCGTTCGTGCCCTCTGACCCTTCGCCCATCCAAGCTCACCGATCGTTGTACCAGGTATATTAAGCGTACTCGCGTAAGCTCCGACGTCCCTCTCCCACTTCTTTCCTTCCTTCTCTCCTTTCGATCTCCTTCGTACTTCGTCCTTGAAAGCACCCCTATACCAAGGAGACAGCCCTTCGTTCTCACTCGCTATAGGATATATCCGATGCACTTTGGCTTAAGCCGACGCGAGATAAAGCCATCGTGCTTCTTACCGGGACGATTGCCTCCACCTCCTCGATACGACGGCACCGAGTGCTCCTGTCTCGTAGTTAAATCGGATAGCAGCAGACCCCGGGGCTTCGGAGACGAACAAAAGCCTCCGCGAATCGATCGATCGACCGCGGCCCGTTATCTTTTGCGTCCGTGCCGCTCTATCCTCTTCTGTCTTTCTCTTTCTCTCCCACTATCGTTCTTTCTCTCTTCTACCATTCCTATATCTATTCTTCCGTCTCTTTCTCTACTTCTCGTTCCATCGTCGTTCCACGTATCTTTATCCGTTAACTCTTTCGAGAAGCTCTTCATTTTCTTCTTTTTCTTTTTTTTTCTTCCCAGGATACTCCGTCATATCTCATATGGTTTTTTCTTTTTTTTTTTCTTCTTCCTCCTTTTTTCATTACGATATCGATAATGAAGATATCTGCAATGTATGTATTTAAATTTTTTTAATATACATCTTTATAAATACACACACACACACACACACACACACACACACATATATCCTTATATATATATATCTTTTCGAATTTGAAGTAATCTTTTTAAGATCGAAGTAAAAAAAACAAATCTTATCTCGTAAATCTTACGTATATGTCGATAAAGTAGTTGCCCTTTCGTTTCGTCGGTATTCATCTTAGCTAGTCGAAACTAGGCAGAATGACTACGGTGTTTCGTCCGCCTGTAGTAGGCGATCCAACACTCGCAACCGCATACTACACAAGCTCATACATTTAAACGAAGAGAGAGAGAGAGAGAGAGAGAGAGAAAGAGAGAGAGAGAAAGAGAGAGAGGGAGAGAGAGAGAGAGAGAGAGAGAGAGAGAGAGAGAGAGAGACATGGACAGCACGTAGCACGACGGTAGGCAGTGGCAGCAGGCAGGAACGGAATTCGGTTCGACCTCAACAGTGCAAACAGAGGCATTGATTTCACCGCTTTCAAACACCCCCTAGCAAAGCGTCAGTCGAGCTCCTAGGGAGAGGGGAGGGGAGGAAAGGAGAGGGAGGGGTTCTCCTCGTTCGTCTGTGTGCGCGCGCGTGAGACCTGCGCGTTTAATCGTGCCCGTGCATGCATGTTGTGTGTCGTCGTTTCTCTATCGCTCGTTTGCTCGTTCGCTCACTCTTTACCCTTATATGGGAGTACTTTAGTATACGTGTGCGTGAACGTATACGTCTATGATGAAGAGAATCGACGACGTTTATCGGCAGGTTCGACGTCGACTCTAATAATAATGCTAATTGAAATCAGCACAGCGAGAAAATCGAAAGGGTCCGTACGTTCGCACCCTTTCCACGTCTTTTTATACTCTTTCTTCCACTCTCTCTCTCTCCCCCTCTCTTTTTCTCTCTCTCCATGATAAGAAAATCAACATAGTAAATCTTGATTTAAGTGACACGAGGTATATGTATTTATATATACCGTGTCAGAAGATTACGTAACTTGAAAAATAAAAAATCCTGTGTATTCCGACAACTATGATAAAAGAATGAACGACAAGAGGGAGGGGCAGGTCACCGAAAGATTCCGAGTCTACGAAGAGAGCAGTCAGGTAACACGATAGCGTTAGGTAGGGTGCTAGATTCGGTGGTAGATATTGCGAGGGTGGGGCGAGGATGGTGAATGAGGCGGCAAGGAGAAAACGTCGGTGGGGGAGGGTGGACTGACTGGTGGTGGGTGATGGTAGGAGGAGACGGGGGTAGGCTGCTTGGGGGCGGTGAAGCGAACGTTTAATAAAAGATGCGCAGAGATAGCGCCATTACCCCGGCTTGCATTATTTACCGGAGCGAGGCAACTCTCTGGCCGCGTTCCGCCGCAGTCGTGGCGTTTGGTAGGCGTGTCCGCATGAATACACACACACACACACACACACACACACACACACACACATATATATATATATACACGCGCGCGCGCGCGCACACGGATGACGTTTACAAGCTTATTCGTACGA